CAACTCCTCCACACTGTGTAAACATGTCTTATGCCATCGGTTTGGGGCGACACAAAGTTGTTGGTTTTTAAAAGGACCCCAGAGAGCTCCAAGTACAAAGGCCAGGCACAGAAGATTTTTGACTTGAACAATGGAGTTTAGATAAAGCAGCCCTGCAACATGCTGTGCCTTTCCCATTGTGTTTGGCATGTGATTGATTCTCGAGGTCCCTCTGATTTCTCTCTAAGCAGTAAAACCACCACGATATAAACAAGCAGTAGCAGATGAAGACAGGATTGGTGGGCTGAGGTTAGATCTTAGGACGGTCCATCTCGCTACGCTGGTGGTTTCCAAGCTGAGCTAACCTCCCAAGTTGCTGGCTCATATTCCCCTTCCCCATGATTTCAGTAGTTGTAGGTCACATTTACCCTTAAGGTCATCCTTGAAAACAGGATGGGTTTGACCTGCTGTAAAAAAAGATGTGTTTGGTGTTGGTGTTGTTTTTTCGGGGAGATGGGAATGAAGGAAATTTCTACTTATTGAGCAAAATATGTCATTAGTCATGCCAGTGTCTGAAAAGGTGACCAGAAAAATGACCATGCTGAAGGTGCTGCTATTTGCTGGCTGTGTGAAAGGGAAGGGGTCTATGGTCAAAAGGCTGCTATGGTTTTTGGAGAGAAATGGACCACAAAGCTGCCTGCTATGCCAGGGGCACATCAGGACTTCCCATGTGTGCCACATTTTATTCAACGATTGAGGAGCTCCAAGAAGACAGGTCGCACTGACTCCTAATTTTAAGAGAACCTTAAGAAAGCTCCAAGAAGAATGGCCAATCTGGACCAGACAAGAGGGTTTTTTAGCCCTTCTCCCTGTCTCCTACATGCCCAGGAATAGATGCTTAGGGAAGAGTTTAGGAATGGAACAGAAACAGAATAAATAAATATATGCATATCTATAGATGTACCTATGTGTCTGTCATCTAGTGGTTAAGTAGCAGTGCTGTCTACCCTCTCCCAACGTTCATCGGCTTGTGGTTCAGTGACACAAAACACACAGCAAACAGACAAACAGCTGGTGTTTAACCACACCGCCTTCCTCAAAGAGTGAACACCGGCCAAGCCATTCCCCTTCCTTCCCTTGTCCTACTGCCTCTCTTTAAATATCGGATGGAAAATAAACACAGCAAAGCTGCCTGGTCAGGGTACTGGGGTGGGAATTGTAGAATGAGATAATGTTTTGGGATGGAAGGGACCTTAAAGATCATCAAGTCCCACCCCCTGCCATGGGCAGGGACACCTCCCACTAGCCCAGGTTGCCCAAAGCCTCATCCAGCCTGGCCTTGAACCCCTCCAGGGATGGGGCATCCACAGCTTCTCTGGGCACCCTGGGCCACTGCCTCACCCCCCGCACAGTCCAGATTTCCTTCCTAATAGCTCATCTCAATCTATCTGCAAGTTATTTGGGGAAACACACTTTGACAGCTAACTGCAGCCTACCTGCTCTCCTGGCTAAAGAGAGGACATCAATCAGGGCTGTCAGTCCAGCGTCCTTCAGCAGCGCTAATTTTCCCTTAGAAAACAGCCCAAGAGCAATTGCTCGCTGGGCAGTTACGAGCTGCTAATTCTCCTGGCTCTGATGGCTTTAGCTCACTTTGCTAATTTCAGAAAGCGGTTTCCGTGCTGCTCTGTGTGAAATAATCCTATTTATACTGTTCAGGAAAAGGGAGCGAAAGACACCAACTTTCTCTGGGGCCCTCTGTTTGCTGCTTTGGTCAATCTTATAATTATCCCACAGCGGCTAAAATGAGAAAAGTACACACCCAAACAAACATACATGGACATATATATATATATATATGCATGTTTGTGTGCATGGACGTGGGTGTTTATTTAGGTGTGTACATCTGTATATACAGCTATCTATAGACAGAGAACTATTCCTAGAGGTAGCAATGTGGATATATATAGAGAGACAGTCACAGACAGATTTTTTTTTCCTAATGCTTTCTAATGCATGGTTTCTTAAAAGTTCCTCCGGTTACATCTGCTCGGATGCTGTCCCACTCGGCGTCAGCCCACGATCTCCTTTCGAAATGTTGGTTAAATGCAGCTGTTGCTGGTGACGCAAAGATGCTGTTCTCCACGGGGGGAAATAATAATAGGAAACAATCTCTCTCTAAAGACAACTAGTCTATCTTGCCAAATTCCCCGATTCTGACATCTCTTGACATATTTACTTCAAGAAAAAAAAAATAAATCAAAGGAAGGTTTATTAATACCAGTGTTTCAGAGCCACTCTTGGGTGTGAAAGACAAGACTCTCTGAAAGTCATCACCCAACTGAGAAAAAAAAGGTCATTCCTTTTCTCTTTTATTTCCACTGTGCTTTTCATACCAGAAGACCCAAGAGACCTGCAGTAGATGTATATGCATCACTTCACTTGTCACTAAAAGGCAGCCATCCCTACGGTAGAATAAAGAAACTACACGACAACATGTAGCGTCGCTATGAGGTGAGACAGGGCTGGGCAGAAGAAAGCAACCTCTTGCAAACACAAGGTTAATAATAATAATAATAATGAGTAATAGAAGCTGTTGAAAAACATTTGTTAATCAAGATACAATTCCAAAGCTGGGGGAAATTTTCATTTTTTCTAATGTTCTTTGCACTGGGCAGGCATCACTTAGGGAGTACCATGTTGTCCTTTTAATCTGAACAATGATGATGGGCTAATTTGTCTTACCATTGAATATCATTAAATTCACCGCTGCGTAGCTGGAACAGAAAACTCAGGGCAAAAGATGGCTGAGCCTTGTGTACGGAACAATGAGGATGGTAATCTTGAGACACCTTATTAAAACAGCTCATAAAGAGGAGCAGTAATTTTCCAACTAAGAGCAGAGGTTGAGAATAAAAAATGAAGTCTTCTGCATAGTGACACCTGATATAATGTCTCTCCCTTAGGAAGCAGGGTCTGAGTCCCCTCTCTGTGCAGTGACCACCTCCATGCTCAGGGGACACAGCCAAAGACACGGAACCCAGGATAACAGGCTTTGCTTTCAGCCTCTTTTTTTTTCTTGTAACAAATGGAAAAACTCTCTTCTTCTTTGTACCCTTCCTTTACTGATTTACCTTGACCAAGTCCTAGCTGTCAGCACGGGAGGTTCAAAAGAAAGGAGCTCCTTTCTCTAGGGGAAGTCTAGCAGACTTGTTCAGATGGAGAGGTCTGCAGCAGATGACTCCCACCGCAGGACATGGCTGAGAGAGGTGGGAAATGACTTCAGAGAGGTCAAGAAGCTGTGCAGCTTAGTAAAGCTCTCAGTGTGCGCAAGATGCTCCATGACTCCAACACCTGCTCCACAAACCTCTAGGGCTGTAATAGTTCTTTCCACTGCATGGACTGGGAAAAGTTGAGTTCCATCAAACCTGTTCTAAAAGTGAACACCTTCCAGCACTGAGACAATGTGCTTTGCTATTAAGCATCTGGAGTGGTACCTGGAGTGGTACCTGATGTATCATCATATAATGCATGTAGATGCTCAAATAACCTCTTTCCTCACTAAACAACTTCATTCATATGTTGCTCCACCATTGGGGAAAAAAAACCCAAAAAACCCCCCAAAAACCCTATGCTGCGGTTGGATTTAATATTAAGAACACTCTCCCAAAAGGACTGTGTATCGTCTTCAAGCCTCCTCCCCACTGTGAAACTTGTGGTTAGACCTTTATCTCCAATTATCTGAATATAACCCTTGCTGCAAATGATCAATCCCCAATGCCATAGCCCATCCCCAAGGAGGACATCTTCCAAATACCACTGAGAAACCAGAGGTTTCTGCTAAATTCTTTGCAAATCGCAGAAATAGAGCAGCAACCGCGTGTAGGTGGAGATGTTTCTCTGCAAAACAAGGTCACATCCTTTCAGGTGACTCCATTGACAGCTTTACTGTCACATTTGCCCAGAATTGATTCTGTGATGCGCTCAGCCTGGGAGACATTCAGAAGCACTACAGAGACCCAGGTGGGCTCACACCCGGAGACGTAAGAAATTTCTGCTTCACTGCTTCACTGTATGTTGACTCCTATTTTGCCAGTCCCCTGAATTTAAATAAAAATAAGGCCCATAGATCTCATGTATAGAATCATAGAATCATTAAGGTTGGAAAAGACCTCAGGAATCATCAAGTCCAACCGTCAACCCAATACCACCCAGCCCACTAACCCATGTGCTTCCATAGACTTTGTTTTTTTCTCTCTCTCTCTTTTTTTTTTTTTTTTTTTTTTTTTTTTTTTTCCCTTTCCCTAGGAGCATACCAAACCCTTTCCATGTGCTATGAATCCCTTTTCTAACTTTGGACTGCTGTCCCTGTTTCAAAAATTGTGACTACACCAGAATTAGTTCAAGACCTGTTTTTACATGTTAATTTGCTTTAGCAAAGGACTCTGTCCCCACCCACCTACAATGAACAGACCACATAAAACCTCTGAACTTTATACCTCAGAGAGGTATAAATTATATATACATATATATATATACACACAACCAAGAGGTTCTCTGTTAATCACCTACAGAAGCAGGATTGCAACCGGTTTCACTGACACATCTTTTAGCTCTGTGTTTGTATTCCAATAAGCAAACTGGAATTTTTGTTTGTAGTTCCAATAAGCATTGGAATTATTGGTAACAAGCTGTTAGAAAAATTAGTGCCTGGTGGGGAAGAGGGAGTCTCAATGGCATGGAACAACCTCCAACCACTTCTTCGTGTCCCTGAGCCTGCTTGAAGTTTCCCCAAGACCTCTTTATGAATGGGATCATGGCAGCTGGAGTAACCCTTTCTGGCTTTGAGGACAATTTTGAATTCAAATAATTCTCCATCAAAACAAAGATGTGGCTTTGGCAAGCTTGGACATAAAGAGGCAGCAAACTATAGCTCATCAAGGGTTTAAGTGAGACGATGCTCCTCAGGTTAGCCCTGGATGAGGCCAACATTTCACCCTCCACGCACAAACGCAATTGCCTACCCTTTCCCTCGTCTCGTTGGTGAGGAACTTGGCACATTCACTATAGTTCGCCCAGGTGCGGTTGTTGCCTGGGACCAGCTCCCAGCTCCCGTTCAGGTCACACCGACGGTAAGCATGGCCTGTGGGAGAGAAACAAGAGACAGAGTAAATGGGTCTAGACCTGGTGGAACAGGAGAATCTTCTTCCAAGGGTGGATCCCATCAACCCTTTTGCCTCCTGTCTGCTTTGAAGCTCAGCTGCAAGAACACAATTTCCATCTCCTTAGGAACTTTATCAGTTTTCTAACTGAGAAACACCAGGGAGCTAATAACAAATTGCACCTAGTTTAGGTTAAGATATTGGGTCTACGAACCAAAGAGAGAAGCTCTGAAAACTCCCAAAGTACAGAATCATCCTCAGAGTTGCAGCTCTCATGATGAAAATAAAATCTACATTATGCTGCTCTTTCAGAGTATCTCAAGGTAGATTTTTCTATTTTCCTCCTCATGATGATGGAGAAAGGAGAGAAGGAATGTTTCCTCTCTGGATTCAGATAGCAAATGAAAACATCCATGTTCAGATGTCTGTGTGGGGATATCATTGCATGAGTTGTGTGTAAAAAGTCCTGTTACAGTTAACAAGGATGAAACCGGCTGACAGGTCTACCTGCCCTGTGTCTACAGGGTGAGGGTTATAGACACCTCTGCATCTCAGGGTCTTAACATGACCCTCACCCTACCTGACTTGACCAGTGGACATCAGTGAGGTGGGGAATCCATGCCATGTTGGGTTATGGAGAAAAAAGGGATTGCCTGTTCCTTGTGGCCTCTAATGTATAGACCACGTGCAGGGGTCTCTATGAGAGGTCATCAGCTGGGGGTTAAGCCAGCTCAGCTCACAGTCCCTTACAGAAAAGGCAGGATGGAGTATGTGCAAACAGGGTGCACTGGAATATCATTACTTGTTTTCTGAGAACAGCATCAGTGCTCTGCTGGGAACATCTAATCTTAATTCTCTATTATTTTTTCTTTTTCCAGTTTTTGGGTGCAGAGCTTTGCTGGAGAGAAGAGAATGCTTCAGCTTTGAAAATACACCGATGAGCGAATGTACTTCAATCGCTTCTAAAAACATGCACAGACTTTGCGGCACCAGAAGCAAGCCAAGAAATGCGCTGCCTGGGGGAAAAGTGAGATAGGGAGGAATTCACATGTTCTGGATACCGGCGCTGTTCTCAGATACCCACCGTAGGGGTCTGGGCAGAGATCAGGGGTTAGAAGGAACAAACCGATCAAGTGAAGAATATAAATTGGAAGAACATCCTGTGGGTTTCTGTTGCTACCCAAAGCTTGTGGCATTAAAAAAAATACAGGCTTGTAATCCTGCGAGACTACCCAGTTGTAAGCGTGTAATTGGCGCTTATAACGCCCCATTGCAGTCTGCATGGGGCAGGTGGGAAATTGGTCTTTGTTTAGGTTAGAACAAAGCTTTTATTTTCTTTCAGCATAAACAAGGATGCTAAAGAGGATTTCTGATTTTGTGACTCCTGGGTCTCCCTTTGCTGCAGCTTACCAGGCTCTGCTGACACCGGGAGCAACGCTTACCTTTGTGATTGAAGTCGTAGATGTACTCGGGACACGGCATGGCCACCACTTTGCCTGGCACGCCTTCAGGCCAGCAGACAATACCATCCCACTCGGGGAGACAAAAGCCATCTGTGGGAGAGACACAAAGATAAAAAGGAGTCACTGGACCTGCAAAGGTGACACTAGTGGTTTTAAGCTGAAAGAGGGGAGACTGAGATGAGATATTAGGAAGAAATTCTTGACTGTGTGGGTGGTGAGGCAGTGGCCCAGGGTGCCCAGAGAAGCTGTGGATGCCCCATCCCTGGAGGGGTTCAAGGCCAGGCTGGATGAGGCTTTGGGCAACCTGGGCTAGTGGGAGGTGTCCCTGCCCATGGCAGGGGGTGGCACTGGGTGGGCTTTGAGGTCCCTTCCAGCCCAAACCATCCTGGGATTCTGTGATTCTATGAGTCTCCATGAAAAAGCCAACGATGTCGCTCAATTTGAGAAAGCCGCTCTTAGGCATCGTTGCAATTTTCCTCTTAGTGTTTAGTTCCAGAAGGTGCAGCTTCTCCCCAGTTTTATTTCAGAAGGATTTGGTCAGCCACTCTCTGAGAGGGGTCAACACACCTGGAAAGCTGTTTTCCCTTGTGGGCTGGAAGAAATAGAAACAGGGCAGGACAACAGAGTGGAGAACAGGAGGACTTGAGCTGTCAGGACTGTAGACTGCCGGACAACATAGAGATGCTCAAGGGAGATTGAGTGGGTGTAGCCTTGATGTGGCAGCACAGATTTGAGCCTAGGCTTGATGATGCTGTGCTACATCATTGTGAGGCTCAAAGCTACCGATTCAGGCTTCGCTGGAAGGTGCTCATGCCCACAGAGCTATGATTTAATGCTTACAGACCATTAATCCCAATTCAGATGTAATTTTAACTCATTATTTACATCATCCAGTGTTATGCTAACATTAACAATCTATAGAGAGGTGTCTGTGCCAGTATTTCTAACCATAAATAGAGAATATTTCATTACATTGCTTCATAAGGAATGAAACGACGGAATTTCTGTTTCCTAAACAATGTGCATCCTTTCCCATCTAACATCATTTTCCTCCATGACTTCATGAGTCTCAGTGTCCCTCTCCTCCCATTTCCCCATCGTGTCATCATGGGGCAAGATGCGGGTCATGCTCTGATTGATTTGGAGCCGCGCCCATGTTAATTGGCTCACACGCTGATTGACCAGCCGCCTGCTGCCAAGCGCAGCATACAATGGTTGAGTTTTCCCAGCTTTATCCCCCTGCTCACTCACTATTTTGGATTTCTGCCTCAGCCACGGGTTTTCAGAAAAGGAGCAGGAAGAGAATGGGCAGGTGGAGAAATCAAATGAGCCCCGTTTGCCTTAGGAATGCAAATATCCTGGGAACTGTTTGTCTCTCTCTGTTGTATCCCTTTGCTAAGCTCCCTACTACTTCCTAACCTTTCGAGAAGGGAGTGGTGGGGTGGATGTTAAGAGGATTTTTCCTTTTTGTTCATTGAAGAAAGCTAAAATAGCCCTGTGAAGGAGAAACCAAAAAAAAGTCCTTTCCCACATTTTTTCTGCATTTTTCCCCCAAACTTTTTTTTTTTTAAATTGACGAGTA